ACCTAGCTTATAAAATTCTTTTTTAGTTTCAGCCGTGTCGGCTCTGAAGGTAACTGCTCTAGATGGCTTGTTCAACAAGTTGAACCTGACACACCTGTGGACGCGCACTGTAAGTTACCTCGAGGAAGTTGTCTAGTAGTAATTCTATAGGTACGTGTACAACTTGTACGGACCTATCTGACAGTCCCCTTGTTATGCATTTTTTAGTTACAGCTGTTAGTGTGATAATTTTTTTGAGACTGTTAGCTTTGTTAAACGCGTGTATCTGTGGCGTTGTGATTAACTAGGTCAAAGAATTCTATTTTCTTCACACTACGATTACGCCAAAACCCAATTTAAGTGTATCTAGAGAATCCTTCCTGTGTATGAAAGCTGATTCTGTATGAAGATACTGAGTTACCAGTTTGTGAAACTAATTTTCTTAAATTATAATCAGTAATTTATGACCCAACGGTGTTTAACCCTAGACTATTTTTGGATAGTTTCATCTAGGACGTGAAAATGTGGTGGAATCGGTGGTAACCTTTGTGAACAGCATAGTGATGAAGAATGTGACCTACGGTGACGCCTGGTATCACCATACTAAGGTTCACTTGCCAAAGATGCTGGCCGTACGAAGAATAAGTAAAGCTTTCGTCTCCCTTTACTACCACAGTGTCAACAGTCGGTGGACCATTCGAAGTGAGTGATAAAATTCATTGTCCTGATGTAAAGATGAGCGTAGTTGCAGTTTATAGCTGGTATGTAAATCTCCTGTGACACTTGCGTAAACCTGTTAAAATTGATAGTCTGAAATTTGATAAAATGAAGACATTTGCATCATTTTAAATATTATTGCAGAGGATTCGCCTGAGCAGTAAGTAGGCTTCTACATCAGTATAGGCAAGATATAACGGTAGACAATAGATGAAATTGATGGTCAAGGCGAAGGGACTGGTCACGTGGGTTACCTTCTGTCCTCTGCGGTATTATATTGAACATAAAGGAGGAACACTGTAGTAGGCTTGTTGGCCCATACTGAGCAGGTCCTTCACAAATCCAACCCACTAACAGAATTTGACCAACCTACTTTAGTTATACCCTAACAATAAGCTTTGATAAATCCACTAACTCGTGTGTCAGTCCCACTTGTCCAACCCATCACTCGTGTATTTATCCAACCTAAATTTGAAGCTACCCAAGGTCCCAGCTTCAATAACCCTACTATGTAGACTGTTCCAGTCGACTGCCCCATTTCCAAACCAATACTTTCCTACATCCTTTCTAAATCTAAACTTGCCTAATATGAATCCATTATTGCGGGTTCTCTTGGAGAGATCCTCAAAACCTTATATCACCTTTGTTAATACCCATCTTCCACTTGTACACTTAAGATCATGTCTTCCCTCTGATTGAACAAACCTGGTGCACAGGTTGTTTTGACGGTAACTACTGTAGTGTTGCACGTCTTAGTCTTTAAATTGTCACCTGTACCTGAAAAGGTAAATCTTTCAGCCTTAGATTCCTAGATAATTAGTTCATGCATTAAATCCTTCGGTGTAAATGAAAGATGCAAATATTAACTGGCTAATTTTATTGTTGCTCTGCAGAATTTATTATATAATGGTGCCATTTGTACCTATTTTCAGAGTTCATTGATAGTACAGGAATTTAAGACTTATTGGCCTAACAACTTAGTAAGGCGTTGATGCTAGTGAAGGACTTAAGATAAAAATTAACTACTTTACCCTTCTGTTCGTACCCAATTGCCTCATTCCCCAGGAATATATATATATATATATATATTATATATATTATATATATATATATATAATATATATTATATATATATTATATAATATATATATATTATATAATATATATATATTATATTATATATATATAATATATAATATATATATTATATATATATATATATATAAAATAAAATCCTCATGACGGTATGGAATTGACAATTGCTATTAGCTGCAAATTTTTGTATGAATACCCAAGCAACCTTTGAAACTGTTGCTGCATTAAAAAAAGTAGGATTTGCAGTGCCAAGTCTATATTATCTAACAATGAACCTACATTTACATTCAACAAAGCAGGTCAGGCTTCCCTTATTAAACGCTACCCCCCCCCCCCCCCCCCAAAAAAAAAGGCTGATTGCCATTTTAAAACTCAAATTAAGTCTTTAAATAGGACTGTTTGGTCATTTTGATCCATTGCAAAGTTTCTGGTTAGTACTTAAGAACACGGTATTGATCTTTCACTTTTAAATGTTAATTCTGCACAGCAAAGAATTTATCTGGTATCTTTTTTTTTCTAGATAAGGTGAAGGAGCAGTGGGGGTGGACGAGAGTACAAATGTTCAGAGGTACAAAAAGGATAGTACCACTGAGGATGGACTTGAGCGGGATGCCATCCTGCTCTCCCTACCTGGCAGTTATTACCAGATTCAGTGATGCTCAAATTCTTGTCTACAGTCCGACAGATGGCCGCTACCATGAGAGAGGTAGGTCTTTATGCTTTAGACTGCAGCGTATACATCTTTATATATTAAACATTTCTACGCATTCCATAATTGTGGCGTAATGGCTCTTCCTGGACATGGGGTCCTCCCCCCTCCCCTTTCCCATCCCTTATTTAAAAAATTAATTTTTTTTTTCCTCTAGAGGATGTGCTAGATACTAGAAATCCTAATATTTTCCTCGGCTTATAAGACTTCTATGAAATAAGTTGCTAAACCCGTTTGTTGAACTTCGATAATTCTGTGGTAGGTCACTTGCCTGGCTCACAATAAGGACCATGACAACCAAACTGGCATTGATTAAACTCCATTGTCCACCAATGAATTTCTGCAACATCCCTGTTAAAGCTAACGTCACGCTGAATAAAGTAAGGCCATTCCCCCACCCTTTTACCACAAACTTTGAATAACGTTTAGCAAGGGATAAATATTTTCCAATAAAGATTACGTAGTTTGGGATTTAGGTATCGCTCATTAGCCTAATACATGGATATTGGACTACCTATGGTGGCCTCCAGGTAATGAGATTCGACTCTTCTATGAATACACTAACCCGTGATTGTAAAATAAAAATTGCAGTACTGCGGCTAATGAGTTTTGGCTTTATATCTTTAATGATGGCAAATTATATACCTAAGCTGGTGATAATAGCTAAACTTAGGAAAGTTCTTTCAAAAGAGTCTGAGTTGTTCTAATGCTTTATTGATCTATTTTATTGATCTATTTTATTGATCTATTTTATTGATCTATTTTATTGATCTATTTTATTGATCTATTTTATTGATCTATTTTATTGATCTATTTTATTGATCTATTTTATTGATCTATTTTATTGATCTATTTTATTGATCTATTTTATTGATCTATTTTATTGATCTATTTTATTGATCTATTTTATTGATCTATTTTATTGATCTATTTTATTGATCTATTTTATTGATCTATTTTATTGATCTATTTTATTGATCTATTTTATTGATCTATTTTATTGATCTATTTTATTGATCTATTTTATTGATCTATTTTATTGATCTATTTTATTGATCTATTTTATTGATCTATTTTATTGATCTATTTTATTGATCTATTTTATTGATCTATTTTATTGATCTATTTTATTGATCTATTTTATTGATCTATTTTATTGATCTATTGTATTATTGATCTATTTTATTGATCTATTTTATTGATCTATTTTATTGATCTATTTTATTGATCTATTTTATTGATCTATTTTATTGATCTATTTTATTGATCTATTTTATTGATCTATTTTATTGATCTATTTTATTGATCTTTTTATTTTATTTGATCTTTATTTTATTGATCTATTTTATTGATCTATTTTATTGATCTATTTTATTGATCTATTTTATTGATCTATTTTATTGATCTATTTTATTGATCTATTTTATTGATCTATTTTATTGATCTATTTTATTGATCTATTTTATTGATCTATTTTATTGATCTATTAGCTTATTGATCTATTTTATTGATCTATTTTATTGATCTATTTTATTGATCTATTTTATTGATCTATTTTATTGATCGTCTATACCAGCACCAGTAGTTCTGGTTCCCTGATGACCGGTTCATACAACCAGCACCATTAGTTTGCCATTCAGCACCTCGGTCAAGCGCATTACATTAGATCTACACTAGACAAGAATTTCACTCGATCGTACGAAACTGGCTTTTGGAGGCTGTGTGCTATCCCTGGATGCTGAGAATGTATTTAGACTGAAGGCACCTACACACGCAAAGAATCTTTCCTTATTACCGTACATCACTGCTAATTTAAGGTTTAATAGCGTTATGAGCTAAAGGAAAACTATGGTGAGAAAAATTGTGGCAACTATTTGTGGGTCTCTTCGAGGATAACTGATTATAAATAGGGCTTGTGAAAATTGAGGGAGGATTAAATCTAAATTTATCACTTTGATATTAGTTGGTCACGACGGCTGATGAGTAAATGACATTGTTAGGAACTGTTTAACACTTCTATATCTTCGTAAATCTAAAAAAAAAAAAAAAAAAAACTAGAGCAGCACTAGTCAAGTGAATGACTTAAGCGCCAGCTCTTATATTTTTTTCCTTCATCCCTAGGTATGGTGTTGACTGGGAGATGCATCAAGACAGTGCTGGGGTACAATCTTCGTGGCCACGATTATGTCGTTACATCACACTCTTGTCTCCAAGACAGCCACTACAACTATAGCAATCCTCAGGTAAAGCATTCTGTTGCACCCACTGATCCCTTTCTGAAGTACGAAATGAATTTTCCCTTTAAATTATATGTGCTGTGACAGTTAATTTGTTCTTTCAGGCAAGACGCAGGAACGAGTGGGTGCAGATATGGAGGGTTTCACCTGATATTAACCCGGTCTACCAAATGGCTGTAGGTGCTACTGATGTACAGGTGAGAATCAATTTGTAATTCACTAAATTAAGAATATTAATGCTGATTTTTGTATATAGTTTTAATTTTATTTTTGTTTGTGGCTGTGGTTCTAACTACTGAAATGTCAAGTGGTTTTTAATTACCTTTAAGGTTACGGGTTTATGGGGAAGAGATAAACCCGTAGGAGTCGGTGCCTGAGAAAAAAGATACAGGTTTGATAAGAGGGGAAGGGGTGAATGATTATACACCGAATTCCTCTACGCTCGTGAAAGTTGAGTAAGATCATACTTAAACGTTAATGATAGGAAAATTAGAAATTGCCATCTTTAGAAAATAGATTAAAAGTATTTAGTTTATTCGGTTAAAAACTCGAAGTTGAAGTATTTAGTTGTAGCGATGTGCAAGAGTAATGAATCCTAAGCCTCTATATTGCGTTAATGGGTGAACTCCTTTATTTTTATGGTCCCAGTCATCAGATGAAAGATTGTTGCTTTCGATGTGCGCAGATCAAAAGCAAAATTCAAATGTATTGATTAGAAATAAAACTGAAAATGGTAAGATTTTTTTAGAATGACACCCGGATACCCTCTTGATTTCATGCCTTGCAGTTCCTTCTTCAATGCTGATCCATTCCTTAGACGAAACCATTGTATTGAAATAATCTTCCCCATGCACGCATTTTCTCTACGTTTATTGCTGAATAACCATACAGGTTACCCACTTTTTCTAGGTGTTGTATAAAAGTACTGTATACCTGTAATTACTGGGTTTATATAACTGTTCCAACATTATAGTTTATTTGCATTCTATAGACTGTCCTTTATTAACCAGGTAGTAATTTTGCGTGGTGTGTTGTGCCTGATAATGGTGGAATCTCGCGGTCATGACGTTGTGGTAATGTGTGAGAGGGGTGATAACACCTTTGTACAACACCAGCGACTTCCCTCTCAAAACCCACAGAAGGTAAGGAACTGATTTCTGGTCTGTACTGGGAATTAACTTGGTGTACGTGCAGGAAAGATGTGCTAGACTCCGTATGCTCGGCAAACCAACGTTGTAGAGATAGTATATTTAGTTATGGTTTAAGTAGATAATTTCATGGGTTTTATATATGAAATGTGTGCCTTGATCTTGTGGGTCTTCATAAATGGAGTTATCTGGGCTATAGCGTTAAGCATACAGGAAGGCCTTTATTTGATATAACTGCACATTATTAATAAACAATGTTACTTTTGATAGCTTCCTAGTTTATAAAAAAAATTCTGTAATTTGTTTGGCATTAGATGCCACAGCCGAATTTTCTTCTGATATTGGATTGTGTGTACCAGATGCCCAATGGGCTCTGCTTTGGTCCAGTATGCTTCTGTTCATTTTGTGGTATGAAGATCGCGGAGGGGTTAGTTTCCTTCCTCGGCAAATTGTTTTGTTGGTGCCCGGGCTGTCCTGGGAAATGAATGAACGCGCAAAGGCTGTTGTAAAGAGCCCACCGATGACTTCATGGGCCTTAGCCACGGAAGTCTTTAGGCAGTGGCGACACTGGTGGGTCCTACAGACGAAAAGGGTGTAAAAGGGTCAGAATCTCTAGTCTGCCTCCTTCAACAAGCTTCCCTTTAAGACCCGATCTCTTGACGATCGGGTGTAGAAAACACTGCCGCTACTTGTTACAAGGTGTTTTAGCTTCCTTCTGAAGCCTATGTATAGCAGATTGTAGAATAAACCTTAATAGCACGCTTTTTCGCTTTCCAGTTTGTGAAATTCCAGGGTTGCCTTTAGGGCCCTCGGGACTTTCATGAGAAGTCTGGCATTAATAGTTTATTTTAAACTGATGGTTTAACTTTGCTAATGTGTTTATTAATGTCAGTAGTTTTTCCTGTTTAAAGACGTAACATTATTTTTATTGGCAAGTATTGATCTCCACGGTCAAAGCGCTCACGAAATTTTCAAATTGCCTACAACCCATCCAAATTAACCAAATAAATTACTACACAAACCACCTATCACTAAAGTCAGCCTCAGTTCATGGGTTTCCTCTCCTGAACAGTTTGACATTCGCACTACTCATCTTCATTCTTTTATTGAAACTATCTGGTGCAGGCATCAGTGATGCATCACAAAGACCCCAGCGGGAGGCTGAACACCTTCCTCGTGGTGGCTGTGCGCGGCACTTCTCCCCACCATGGTAGTGCTTACACTGTCTGGCGCTACGATACAGAGGATAACGCTTTCTTCCTATTGCAGGTGATATTTTTAATCTTTATGCAGAACTTGTTTTAACGTTTAGAAAATAAACGGTAAAATTTACCTTCCAAGGATTTTTCTGTTCAGCTAATTGACAAATTTAAGAATTAAAAATTTTCAATGTGGAGATAAAATTCATTAGTTATTGCTCCTTTAGTGTAGTTGTGCTTTAAATTTTAACTGCTTGTTTAATAGAATTGTACCTCTACGTGGATAAGGGCGTTTATATTTGCAAATCTAAATTTCCAGAGGATGTCACTGGATAACGTGGAGTGGGTCGCACTCTCTTCACACAGAAGTGACCTTTTCCTGGCGGTGGTCTCTAAGGGTTTCAGAGGTGACCAGCATGGCGAGGTGTTCATCTACAGGTTAGTGATCCCATAGTCCGAAACGATGAGAATGCTTTGGTGTTTAAATTTTCAGAAAGTGGTTGCTACGTCAGGAGAGAAGAATAGTGTTCAGTGGAAGTAGACTGAGTGAAGGCTGCTGAAGGTTTCGAGGGGAAAACTAGCGAAAGACGTTGGAGTAATAGAATTTTATATAAAACTTTTATCTGTATTAAGAGTTTAATATATAAATTTGTGCATTACAAACTAAACCAGAAGCATCGCAAATTTTTTATTTAATGTTCACTAAACGGGTTAAGTCCAGTTTATAGTATGCAAATTGTCCAAAAATTCCATTGTCCTTGTGAAACTAATGCTGTGTTCTAAATCAAATTTTTAGAATGGACTGGTCGAGTGAAGAGGGCAGCACGTCCCTTAGTCACTACGGCTCCACCTCTGAGAAATTGAATTCTCAGACTATCATACCCAACTTCGTGTTGAAGCAGCAGCTTGCACTCAAGTGGCCACTGGAAGCTCACTTCGCCACACTACCTTCAGGACAACTTTACCTGTACGTTATCAACCAGGAGGGCTTTGTCACCTGGTTTAGTCAGAAAGGAATTCACAGGTGAGTTTTGCCGTCTGGTTAAGGAAACTAGTGTATAAAGTAAACGGATGGTAGTTTACCTTTGTGCTAACTAGCGACTAAACTCAACTTCGTGTAAACTGAAGTTTACGTATGAAAACTTTGCTATATAAGCAATGGGAAATGAGACTTCATCAATAGTGAAAAAAGGCAGATAAGGAATAGACTAAAGACAATTTTTATTTAATATATATAAATTATTATATAGGGAAAGATAAAACTAATACGCTCGTGACGTTTGATTAATACTGTTAAAGGGGAAAGCGAGACAGAACTAAAACTAGTGGAGACAGGACATTGTATGCACGAGTCACTGACGGAACATGTCTAACTACTATATAAAGGTATGGAAGTGACTAGATGAGAAATAATTGGTTTAGAAAGTGCAGTGCACCACTTAAGTGAGCTTTATTGGAAATAGATTACCTTAATGCATATAAGGTAGTGAAAGTTTGTAAACTTGCATTTACTGGCGTAGGGAAGTATTCCAGCAATCGCAGATAATGACTGTGATGTCTAGTTGCAGATGTGAAAGTAGTTTCAGGGTAGTAAAGAATAATGTAAGAGTTTCCATTATCGAGGAAAGTGCATTTCTAAAAGGATCTTGGAAATACTTTCGAAGTTTCAATGTTTGAACGTAATTTAGATGAACAGTGGATGCAGATGTCAGTGACGAGAATAATTTAATATATTTAGAACCTAAATAGTATCTAGATACTCGATAGTATTTTGTTTCCAATAATTAAAAATTGTCAATATAGCCCAAAAATAGAAATGGCTGGTAATCAGTGATAGCTTGCTAACGTTAAAAATAAACTCAAGGGTTAGTGTGATGTAGGGAGTTTGATTTGGAGCATTAATACCACTGTAGGGGTTCATCAGTGGCAGTGAGTGTGAAATAGTTGGTGCTGGTAAGGAGGAAATGCTTACCACCAGTGAGTGGCAGCCGCTTTAAGTGGCAAGTGGTTCAGTTCAGGAAGGAAGGTAAGGAGGGTTAATGATGTGACGGTAGGAAATCTATTGTTCTCAAAGACGAGTGTACTTCAGTGGTTAGTGAGGTTAAAGGTACCTGACTCCCTGCTAATTAAGGCAAGAATATTCTGATTGTGGGAGACACTCGGGTAAGATGTATGGACCGTGCTTTTTGTAACAAGTCAGTGTGCCTCCCAGGAGCTGGTGTTGGTGACAGTCAGCAGATTGGATATTACGTCAGGTAATGGGAACAAGCCCATTAGTTAAGTGCTGGTGGAAATGACATTGGGAAGGGAAGGAGACAGTAGTCAGGTCTGAGGGATCCCTATCATGTGTAGCATCTTGCCTAGAAGGGAAGTGGGCAATGAATGGACGTCTAGGGCAATTGGTATAAATTGCCGGCTAGACAGGTACTGCAAGGAACTTGCAATCCCATTCATTGATAACTGGGACAAATTCTATGACGAACGTGTTTGCAAGGGATGGGGTTCCTCTCTGGGGTTGGAGTAGTTGCATTAGCCAGTTCGATTGAGGGGGTCATGGATAACTTGTCTATGGCTTGTAACTGATAGATTTTAAAGGTATGGGTGTTTTGTGGGGAAACAATCGGGTTGCAGTATTATCGTTGGAAACAGCAGATATTACCAGAATACATCAGGGATGTTTAAAAGACAATAAAGTTCCTAAAAGACAAAGCAACTGATCAACAGAGATAGAGGGCAACGAGTGACTTTAAGGTTTACTGTACAAATAGGAGTCGTCTAAGAAATAAGACAAGCTAAGATTACTCGCAAGTGCAGGTAATAGATATTAGTGCTATAACTGAGACCTGGTTCAACTTGAAGGATAGAGAAATGCCTTCTGAATGCAGCATAAAGGGTTATAAACTATTCCACACTGATAGGGTCAACAGGAAGGGTGCTGGAGTGGCAATGTATGTCAGATAATTTTAGACATAGAATAAAAACATCGGACACAATCTTTGGCTACAGTTTCTCGAGTGGTATGAAAAATTAATTATGGGTGATATATAGGCCCCCAAACTTGATAGGAAGCTGTTATGGGACGAAATTCATAAGGCATGAAGATACGAAAATGTTGTGTTAATGAGGGATTTTAACTTGAGACAAACCGATTGGAACAATGAGAAGAAATCTTGTCTAGTGATTTTCTTGATCCAGTGCAGGATTGCTTTTTAAGTTCGCGACAGAACCAACTAGAAGAAACTATCTGCTTGACTTGTATCTTGCCAACATAGATTCACTAATTAATAATCTCGAGGTTATAGATGAGCTTGGGGCAAGTGATCACAAATCACTTAATTTCAATATATTATGAAATCACCCAGTAAACTACAAGAAAGTCTGATTTCCTGGGACTGAAAAATTACCTGGGTGGGCTAAATTGAACGCTCTATGGGTCAGGTAGCTGGTGTTGGTTGCCAATATGGCATTTTTCAGAGAGTAGTTCTAGCTGCTCAGTCAACTTTTGTTCCGAGTAGGGAAATTAGATGTAACAAAAATGATCCCAAATGGATGAACGATAGATTAAAACCTCTTAAGTTAAGAGAGGCATGTATAGGTGTATCAAGAGGGGATGGGCAGTTAAGAAAAATATTCAATTAAAGAAAAAAAAGAAAAGCAAAATGGGATTGAGGCTAAGGTCACAAGGGATTCGCAGATTAACCCGATAGGGTTCTTTCAGGTATACAAAAGTAAGATTTAAAGATAGGCCCACTTAAGAGTAACTCGCTCAAATCACTGACAGTGATACGGATGTGTGAAATTCTAAATTCTTTCTTCCTCTTTACTCGGGAAGATGCTAGCGAAATTCCAGAAATAATAAATTGTGTAGAACAGGACAATAATAAACTATGCACGATTGCAGTAACTAGTGATATGGTCCTCAGACAAATAGAGAAATTAAAACCTAACAAATACCCAGGCCCTGATTGTTTGCAAGAGTTTTAGAAAATGCAAAGAGGAACTTTGCAAACCTTTGGCTAATCTTTTCAACATATCGCTACAAACTGGCAGTGCCTGATAAGTAGAAAATGGCATATTTACAAGGCAGGTGACAGGTCCTTAGCTTCGAACTATAGACCAATAAGCCTTGCCTCCATAGTGGGGAAATTTATGGAATCAATAATTGCAGAGGCAATTCGTAGCCATCTTGACAGGCATAAATTGATAAATGAATAGCAACACGGTTTTACTAAGGGGCGTTCCTGTCTAAGGAATTTACTTTTTTCGCTAAGGTGTTTGAGGTGTCATGGTAATGAATATGATGTATATGGACTTCAGTAAGGCTTTCGATAGTTCCACATCAGACATGAGGAAACTTAAGGCACACAGAATAGAAATTTTTTCATTGGTAGAGGCGTTGTTTACAAATAGGCAGCAGTTTGCATAAATGGGGGTACGTCACAAGCCCTTCGTTCACAATTTATATAAACGATATTGATGGGAATAAATAGCGACGAGCAAATTTGCTGACGACGCCAAAATAGGCCGTCCAATTCATTCTATTAAGGATATTAGTGCACTCCAGGATTTGAATATTGATGCAGTGGTCTGAGAAGTGGCAAATGCAGTTTAAGACAAATGCTAAGTACTAAATGTTGGACAGGACGTGAACCATACCACTTATAAACTGAATAGTGTAGATCTTAATACTACTGATTGCGGAAATGTTTTAGTTCTGGTTAGCAGTAATCCGAAACAAATACAACAGTGCATAAGTGTTCGCAATAAAGCTAACAGAATCCTTGGCTTCATATAAAGATGTATAACTAAGTCCTCAGGTTGTTCAACTATATATCCTTGGTTCGGCCTCGTTTACAATATGCTGCACAGTTCTGGTCACCATATTACAGAATGGATATAAATGCAATGGAAAACGTACAGAGGAGGATAACGGTTGATCCCATGTATCAGGAATCTTCCCTATGAGGATAGACTGAGGGCCCTGAATTTGCACTCTAGGAAGGCGTAGAATTAGGGAGAGGTGATTGAGGTGTATAAATGGAGAACAGGAATAAAGGGAATGTAAATAGCGTGCTGAAAATATCCAGCAAAGACAGGACTCGTAGCAATGGCTTAGTTGGAAAATTTCCGATTCAGGAAGGATATAGGAAAGCACTGGTTTGGTAATAGTTATGGATGAGTGGAACAAACTCCCGAGTACCGTCATAGACGCTAAGACGTTGTGTAGTTTTAAAAGTAGGTTCGATAAATAAACGAGTGGGTGCAAGTTGGACATGACTAGCTTGGGCTACCAGGTCTGGTGCCGTGTTCCTTAAGTGGAAGTGACCTGACTAGGTTATTCTAGACCAGTGGGGTGGCATGGACCTGCTTCGCATGGGTCAGTAGGCCTGTTGCAGCGTTTGTTCTTATCACCTTATCTAAATCATGAGGTTTGAGTTTGGCAGTGATGTACTCTGGTGACGACCTCGTGTCGCCAGCCAGTTGGTGACAAATAGTGACGTTGGCGTCACTATTTGTTCCATGAACATTGCCCAATGTTGATTCAATTGCAATTTTCATATTCCTAGCTGTAAAACAATCCATAAACTGCATAGTAAGTTGCCTTGTATATTAGAAATAGCAGGATACATATTACTCCGCTTCAGGTTCAGGAAGGAAGGGAAGCTACACGCCCCTGGTAAGCAGAGGTTGGAGGCGTGGGGGTGTGCAACCTCCGGGACACAGCTACATAGAATTTCCATAGCTGGAGACGTGTGCGCTGAAGAGGATGTCACCGCAGAACCCGCTGTGGTCCTGGAGGCAAACATCAGGTAGAAACTCCTCGAAGCCGGTAGTGAATTCTGAAGGCCTGATCTAAAGATTTCTCTAGAACCCTGAAGCTTTAAAAAGCAAACTCTTAGCCTTCTCAGTAAATCATAAGTTCTGGAAGAAACACAAAAATCACAATATAAAGTTGTCAGATGCCCTAGTTAATCGTACAATATTTTACCATTATTTAAAACTTTCAAAAGTTCCAGCTATTGAGTTTCATTTGCAGTTTTAAATTAGAAATTCAAATATATTCCAGCTAAGTCTTAAGCTTTTTATCGTTAAATGTTTACTATTTATTCTATATGCATATAAAAGATTAATATATTTATAAGTATCTTTGCCTTTTATTATTAAATCCTTAATACTACTAAAGTTAAACTTGTGATCAGAAGACACTCGTGGTTTCTACCACACTAGTGCCCCTCAGGGAGGTTCCTAAACCATATCTCGCCTTAGTAGAACCTGATTACTATCTGCATCCTCCCAGGTGCTATATGCCCCTTGAGTTTGGTGTTTTCCTCTTGCAATAGTGGTGCCCATTAATCTTGCTCTTTACATTTAATAAAACAAACTTGTAAATGTGTAGCACATGCCGCAGTTTAACCTTAACATGTAAAATTACCAAAATATAATATTTTGAAGTTTGATTCCCCCCTCCCAATTAGTCATAATGGGGTTAGTGTCAAGACTGGAACTCTTGCCAACTCCTTCATGGCGTCCCTTTATTCTGGCAAAGGGGCTCTAGATAAAAGGAATGGAACCACATCTTCCCTTCCTCGAACAAATCCATCAACGTTCCTCCAACCTACTTGAATGCTGCTCCTTGAAGGTAACAAGGGGTCGCTAAAGTTCAGTGGTGACCAACCCAACTGTTCAGATAAAAATAGCCCTATATGAGCGCTATACACAATGACGGATCATCTCTGAATGAAAACGTCGGTGTGGGGAGTGGGGCATCTGCTGCTGCCGCCGTGGGAATCTGATTATTTGGCGATGTGCTGAACAGCACTCCTGGGGGCCCTAATGGCGGCCTTGTCCTTGGACGATTAAAAGTATTCCTCGAGGTGACCTTTTGGTTCCGGGAGGCGACGGCGAAAGGGTACGACACCCAAGTTTCCTGGTCTGTTTATTCTGAAGGTACCATCCTGGTATGCGTCAAAAGGTCTTCGATTGTACTCGTGAATCCAGTATGGCTTTTCAGAGCTACCCTCCACCCTCCTGGTTTTTCACAGAAAATGATCATATCCGTGCATTCTCCCTGATCCCGACACTCCTTAAGAACCAGTACCGCTTTTGGGCAACCAAGTTTCCAGACTTGATCACAAGCGTACAGACTGATTTGCTGATACCTGGTTCACGTTGACCATGCTCCTGGCTTGCACGACGACGCGACGATTTTCGGATCGTTAGTTTCACGAAACGGAATGGCATGGAAGCCCCCACCCCCCCTTCAAAGGTTCCTTGATCAGAGGCTCTTGATCTAAGAAATTGAATATACTTGAATTCCCTACGTTGAATCCCTTAAATAGCCCTAGGCGCTGCATGACCCCTACAGGTTCAGCGCTCCCCCTCCCTATTAATTTAATGGCTAGAAGCCATCCCCAAAACTTCAAGTGTACTTTACGATCTTGCCACTGTTACGGATTCTTAGCTTATGTCTGGAATAACACGCTACCTGAAATATTTTCCCTCAGACGCTTAAAGGAAAATCATGGAAGATATTCCTCTTAACCCAACTACGCCTACTGATTACCCAACTGATTATGGCATTAGTAACGCGCTCGTGAGGCGTGATGGTAAAAATGTCTCCAACTGTATCCTCAAGAGCGTGATGCTCACTCGCTGTTGAGGATGCTGAACTATCTATTCTGACAACCTGTCACGAGATAAAAACTTTAAATTCTAGCTGGGGTACTGTACTCGTCCTGCATACAAAACTAAAAAAAAAATGCATTGTGGCTTGCGCATTCAGAAGGAACTTAATACAGTCTAATCGCCAAAGCTGAAACTTGTCAGCCCTGCCCAAGGTAGTTCTAGAAACATTGCGAAGCTAACCTTTGACTTCCGGGAGCTTCCAGCTTCATTTTAGTTAGAAAACCCTTGAAAGTCCGGGAAGTGCTCCTAAGTAAATTTACACGTAGCTGTTACTTTGGTCGTCCGGCCAAATACTGTAAATCGGCAAAATGACCAATCTCCTGTGCAGTGGATCATAATCCATCCTGCAGCCAACTCCCCCAACTTGCCTTAACTTCGGAAAAGCTCCCCTCAATGAAAATGAAGGTTCCTTGATGTTGGTGAGGGGCTCTTGATCTAGAATTGGGTCTGTGCTCAGGTTCCCTGATTTTTGCCTGAATACCTTCCACATTCCCACCAGGCGTTGCATATTCCTACGGGTTTAGCGCTCCCCTTGATTATCTGGAAAGGCTGTGTTTTCGCCGTTGTCAGGTTTAAAGAGCGTGAAATAAGTTGTCTCGAGTAAAACTGGTAACCCAGTGGCGGACCTACATTTCCGGGGCCCTGAAGCTTTAACCGATATGGGAATCCCACATCGGTTACACGAGCAGTTGCTGGTTACCCTCGCAACCAGCAACTGCTAATCTACATCATACTTTAACATCCTTTTATTTCTTAATACTTAGTGAATTTCACTCTAAAAACCATTTTGTACAATAGATCCACAATTTTAAGCAGTGTGGAGTAAAGTAGCTTCTGGGGCCCCTCTGGTATTAGGTTCTCTGAAGCTCAAGCTTAATTACTTTTATAGTAGATCCGCTCCTGGGGTAACCTCATACCATAGCAGTGTTCAACCGTTTCCTACTCCAGAGCTGCTCGGCACCTCACTGCTCGGTCGTGCTCCAATTACCAATGTCCAATCCTAACTAGATCCTTACCTCTGACGTTCCTACCTCTTCATCTTCTCCCATGTTTACTAGTACCTCTGATTTACTTATTCACCTACAGCTACCCGCTGGGCCCTCCGCTATTCCTTTAAAAACCCTTTCGTATCCAAACCCACCCCCTCATCCATCCTCCTGGGCATTAAACTCTCAACCATGTTCATCCAAGCTTCCCTTTCCTATTTTGCGTGTCAATCCCTTGCCGCTTCCTAAGATTGACAATTGTGTAAATCTATCCACCCCTACATTGAACCATTTTTCCTTTTCCCCCATCAATTACTTCATCCCAGTATATACTACCTCTTCTCTACCATTTTAGCAGCTCCCGTCCACACACTATCACGTCTACCCCTTTTTCTCTTAAATCACGTTAACTGCTGCTTCCTTTTTCTCGGAAACCGTTAAGGCAATAACTGCTGTTATTGAGGAGATGAATCCTGCAGTGTACGTAGATCTGCTCACCCCTTACCTTTGACATTTTCACCCTCTGCAACCTCCCTACATATACTCCTGCTCTAAATCTTCCTTCAAAGTTATTCACAAATAGCTCGTTTCGAACTACCCTTACACCCCATATCGACTTGAGCAGCCGCCCTAGCCCACAGCCCCTGCCTGCTTTGTCACACTTATTTACTGATAATGGCTTTATGGCGGTGGGCTGTATAGCCCTTGTGGCTTAGCGCTTCTTTTTGATTATAATTTATGGCAGTGGAATATCAGTGGACACAGGGAAACTGTGGGGGCTCCCAAAAGTTACTCTCCCAGTTTTCGTTTTTTATCTGTTTACAAGAACCGAAATTACATTCCAATGTTGGACTTCGTCTCTGACTACTTTATTACAGTCAAACTTTACAGAGACGTTCAATGAGTGCACTTGCGTGCAAGTATATTCTTCTGTTTTTCCGTACGCGCTCAGCTCCACTGTCGCAGCCCGTATCCATTTGGGCAAGTGATACTCTTCGCCTCTTTGCTTGCCTATTATCCATCCCTGACACCCATTTTCTGGTTTCTTCCTGACCTTCGCCACTCCTTATAGTGGGCGAGCTATGACCCTTGGGGGTTTAGCGCTTAGTTTTGATATGAAATAAACGCAGGAGATAAAATTGTGTTTTTCATATTTCATGTTTTTCGTATTTGTTATATATTTATATTACTGTATTTATATATTAGTGAATAACGTTAGGTCAGTCACAACCCAGCATGGAAATTTACAGGTGAAATACGTATTACCCTAATGAAAAATTTAATTATATGATCCGGTTAAAATAAATTTTGAATTAATATTTATGCCACCCTGTGTCATTGAATTTGGGAACGTGTTCTAGCACCGTGTGTTAAGTATTACCGGAAACTTTCCATTACGTGCAGCAGAGTGCTATGTTGTGTATGTTGTCTGTCGGTTAAGGGAGATCCTTTGCTTTGATGTATTGGTCTCGTTTCTTTGCAAATCAAGAGAAATGTATAAGTTTATCTTGTCTTTTATTTTTTTTTTTATCTCTTAGACTTTTAACTGAAAGGTTTCGTTCTTTTACATATTTTGCATCTGGAATGTAAGCCTCTCCAGCCTCGCCTTCCAGGAGTATTTCCACGGACCAGTAATCCCTCTAGTGAAGGTTTACTGATCTGAGGAATTGAAGCTAGTCTCTCCTACCATAGAAAATATCATTTTACCATTAATTTCTGTATCACTAAGACACACATGGGTCTCCAGCTTCCCGTGAATAATAGCTTAAAATAGCTCACGATATACAACCGTCTTATATGGACTATATAATTTCCTTAAGTAATTTTAAATTGGAGGATTTCTCCTATTTTCCGATCACTCGGTTTTCATAATGCATTATTTGAGCACAAAGATCTGTGTTCTGAATTGTTCTGCTCTGACTAGCTGACTGTTGTGGGTTCGCCGGTGTTGTACCCGCCCGGGTCTTTTCCAGATGGTCACTGTGAGAGTAAGACACATGTGCAACATCTGGGTATCTTTATTGTAGACGTTTCGCCATCCAGTGGCTTTATCAATACAAATTCCAGGACATAACTTGAAGACAGTAGAACTATGTACAGAAGATGAGGTAATTCTACTGTCTTCAAGTTATGTCCTGGAATTTGTATTGATAAAGCCACTGGATGGCGAAACGTCTACAATAAAGATACCCAGATGTTGCACATGTGTCTTACTCTCATCTTGTCGGTATTATATACCATTCGTACACAGATGGTCACTGTATTATCTTCCCACTGGATTCATATTTCGTCTACAACTCTTACGCTTCCTCAGTGAGCAGTGACAACACTTTGAAATTATATTACTGCGAATACACAGGTAGTCCAGAAATGTGAAGCGGGAAGGGGCGCATCAGCTCATTAAGCTATATAGCCCTTGTGGCTTAGCGCTTCTTTTTTATTATAATAATAATCAGCTCATTAACCCCCCTTTTA